AGAGTAGAAACTGTCTTTCAGTCTTTGTGTTCCAGCCCTAATAGCTCTGAACCTCCTTCCTGAGGGGAGCAGTACAAACAGTCTGTTAGCCAAGGTACAAGGTTGCTGTCTGAACATCACCAGGTCAGGTGCTGGATCTCCTCCCTTTAATGGGTCTCATCATGGTCCTGAATGAGCACCCACGGTGGTGTCGTCTGCAAACTTGACGACCAGGTTAGTTGAGTGGATGGCAGAACAGTCATGTGTGAACAGTGTGGAAAGGTGTCCTTGTGTTCAGGATCAGGGTGGATAATGTTCAACCCCCAGTTCTCACCACCTGAGGCCTGTTGGTGAGCAAAAGCAGGGACAGGCACAGGTCTAGGCACTTCAGTATCAGCTTGTCCAGGATGGCAGTTTTAAAAGTCGAGCTGAAGTCGACAGATACATCCTTGCGTAGGAGTTTGGATGCTCCTGGTGGGACAGGGCTGTGTGGAGTGCAAGAGAGACTGCATCCTCTGAAGAACAGTTCCCTCTGTAAGTCCAGGTGTTGACCAGTTGATAGCTCTGGTCCTCTCCTCACCCAGGTGCCCAGGTCTGATGATATGACTACGAAGTCTATCATCGACCTTTGTCCTAAGGTACTCTGGTACCAGGTACACTTATGGGCAACCTTATGCTTGAACATGGTGTTCATTACAGCCAACCCGTGGCTAGCACAGAAGTCCAATAACAGAACACCGCTCGGGGTCAGATTGGGCAGGCCATTCCTCCCAATCATGCCCCTCCAGGTTTCACTGTCATTGCATTTGTGGGCATTGAAGCCCCCCAGGAGAGTTATTGAGTCCCCAGGCGGCACCCCTTCCAGGTCACCACCCAGAGACTCCAAGAAGGCCGGATACTCTGAACTGCTGTCCGGTACATAAGCACAAACGACAGTCAGAGTTTTCCCCTCTGCAACACGCAGTCGCAGAGAGGCGACCTTCTTGTTCTCTGGGGAGAACTCCAACAAGGCGGCGCTCAGCTGGGGGCTTGTGAGTATCCCTACACCCATCCAGTGCCTCTCACTCTGGACAACTCCGGAAAAGGAGAGAGTCCAACTCCTCTCCAGGAGTTTAGTTCCGGAGCCCTTGCTGTTCGTGGAGGTGAGTCCGACTATATCTCGCCGGTAACGCTCCACCTCCCGCACCAGCTCAGGCTCCTACCCCGCCAGAGCTAGTCTACATCACCAGGGGGCAGTATGCCAGGATGCCCGCTCCAACCTACCACCTAGTGGACAGCACCCGACCCTGATTTCTTGCCCCGAGGGTGGTGGGCCCTCCAGGCGGTATTCCTTTGTTTTTTTTTAAGTTGGAATAAAATATATATTTTTTTTTAATCTCTTCTCATGAGATGATTGTGACAATGCGATTTATTCTTGATAGAAAAAATATATATCTCAAAACTTTATTAACATCACAATATACATATAATACATATCACAGTAAAAATTAAACCACAATTAATTTTTGCAAACTGTGTATTCAGGCTTAAATTTAAATGGGGGTATTAAATAATAGGATTAAGGGTTTTGTTTCAATCTTTCAACCTTGTTCAATTTAAAAGGAACACATTCAAGGGGATTTCATGCACAAGAATGTCCAATATTACTCTTCAAATGTTACTCAATTACTAATATTGAGTATGGCCACCCCTGACAAGGATCAATGTATATATATTGTGTGTATATATATGTGTGTGTGTGTGTGTGTTTGTGTGTATGTGTATATGTGTGTGTGTGTGTATATATATATATATAATATAGTAAATGAAAGTGTCGAGAGTGGACATATTAACAGAACAAGATGGAAAAACGGAGGGTGAGTAGGAATGGGTAGCGTTAAGATTTCACGTGCCTTCTGCCAGACACACAAAAACTTGGATTGAGGGATGATTTCAATTTACCTCAGCAAGGGAGCTGCTCTTCTACACATGACATCCGGACCCAGGATTAGGTTGTCTGCAAGTGATTAGGCACCAGGTTCTCCACAAACATGTGATGCAAGGCAGGAGAAGAGCAGCCACCCCCCTGTCACAAGCGTCTCTCCACACTGGCCGAGGCCGGGAATCTGGGACCAATCAAAGATCCGCAGCACTACAGTTTTTTCATGTCTAGGTTCTGACTTACAGGTGTTCAGTCATAATCCCATCGATGGTTGCTTTGCACATTGGCTCTCCAGCCACACACATACAGCAGACGTTTGAACCTGCAGTTCCTCTCGTACTGAGGAGGATTATTATTGCAACAACACATCATCAGTAGGGTAAAACTAACCTGTCTCACGACGGTCTAAACCCAGCTCACATTCCCTGTTAGTGGGTGAACAATCCAGAGCTTGGTAAGCATTGCTGTGCGAACGGGACCCCCGGCGGGCGCCGCAGCTGGGGAGATCCGCGAGAAGGGCCTGGCATGCATCCAGAACCACTGATACCGTACCTAGTTCCCTCTGCCGGCCTGTTGCGTTGGACACCGCTGATGGTGCAAGACACTGTCGGGACTGAGTGCCCCATGAGGCGGGTTGCGCGCTGTGCTTACGGCAGGGTAGAGAGGAGAGCAATGGGATGGCTGCCCCCCCAGCCCTGCTATGCAGCCCAGCCCGACCAACCCTGCCCTTACAGCCATTCCTTATACCAAAGTTACGGATCTGATTTGCCAACTTCCCTTACCCATCTTGATCTTGAGCCAGTTGGGATAGCACAGCAGTGTACTATGGTTACTCATGCACTCGAGCAAATGTAGAATTTTACAGTTGTGTTTGGTTGAGGTGGAAGTCATTTTTAACTATTTTGTATAGCACTGTGACTAATGGTTATATTATTATGCTGATTCTTTTCTTCATTCTGATTCAATCATTTCTGAATGACTGGTTTGTAAAAATTCTAAAAGTAGTGAGAAATGCTGTCACAATTACCAGAAGTGACACCTTTGTAGTTCTTGTGTCATTCAGCCAGCAGTCTTCACTTAATATTCATGATGTAATATATTTAAAAAAAAATAATTTTAAGTATTTGATTAGAAAAGCAGCAAATCTCTACAGTATTAAAGCTGGATATTAAAAATTAAATTAATTAAAAATTATCAAGCAATTAGCTAAATAGTATTTAGTTATTTTTATTCAGTCAACTAACTGATTAACTAATTATTTCAGCTTAACTTGTAGTATTATGTCGTTCGTGTAATCATATTTCATAAGCTCTTGATATATTTTGTGTACAAAAATCTTAGTTTGTAAAGTAACTAAAGCTGTCTGAAAAATGTAGTGGTGTAAATAGGACAGTCATGTAGTAGTAGTCACGAAATGAAGAAACTAAAGTAAATTGCAAGTACTTAAAATTTGTGCTTAAGTACTTTATTTGCATAAAAGTATAGAGGTCTATTAATGTTGTTATTTAAAACTTGGAAAATTTAAGTGTATTAAATTGTATTTTTTAAACTGTAAAATGAATGTGTGTTGTATATTCTAACACATTCTGCTCTGGGACAAACAGCTATAAAGCTTGTAAACTGCTGAACTGTGAGATACAGTCTTTCATTATAAACAAGAACAAAATGTAGTTGAGGCATTCACAGGTCACAGAGTGAAGAACACTCATGTTTTGTGTTGTATTGCATCTACACATTGTGACATAACTGTGTACCACTCTAATGCAACACTGCCAGACAGTATGCTGTTCTCATTTGAGTAACGAACCTAGTCGTCAATAGATGACTAGAGATTAGACTATAAAGGATACATCTAAGCTACATGAAATGTTTTTGTGGTAAACACACTGCAGTAACTGTCACAGAAACGTAAAGAGTTGTTTGGCCACAGTAACAGTAGACATGATTACCACAGCTCAAAGGCATTTTTTTCAGGGGAAGACTGCCATAGCTACTGTGAAGCATGGGAAATGTCATGGTTTGAGGTTATTTTGAAGCCTCTGGGATTGGGCAGCTTGCAGTCACTGACTGAGTTCTGAATTTTGCAGAGTGCTTGAAGATAATGTGAAGCCAACTGTCTGAAAGGTCAAGTTCAACCTCTTGTAGACCTTTCAACAAGATGGATAAGCTAGCATGTCTATCAAGAAGTGATTAAAAAAAGAAGAAATGGTAGATGATCTACACTTATATAGCACCTTTTAGCCTTTGCTTGGTTCTACAAAGCGCTTTACAATGCGTTTCCCATTTACATAAAGACACACAAACACCATTGGAGATGCAAGGTGCTCACCTGCCATCAGTGTTCATTGTCTTGCCAACATTTTGGCAAAGGGAGGGGCTGAGAATTGAGCTGCCAACTTGATTGGTGGATATCCCTTGTTACCAGGGTGAAGACATTTCTCAGTTGAAGTTCAGATCTGAATCCCACTGAAATGTAAGGAGTTTTAAATGGGCAGTGCATACAAGAAAACCTTCAAGTATCTGTAAATGAATTTTGTGGGAAGAGTGGTCAAAAATTTCAGCAACTTGATGTCAGAGACTGGTGGACAAGTATGCAAAACATCTACAAGAGGTTATTTTTGCTGAAGAGGGCAACATTACCTTGGTTGTACTTTTGCACAGGTTTTCCATTGAAAAAAACAGGACATCTATTCATGTTTTTGTTCAATAAATAATTGAAAAAGTGCATTTCTCTTGTGGCTATGCTGAAATCTGTCAGTATATCAGTAGGGACTGCACTGAAGAGGATCTAGCGTTTGCTTGTCCAAATATCTTTTTTTTTTTTTTTTAAAAACAACTAATTTCTGTATGTAGCTAAACGTACTCTTTCACGACTGTGCGGTAACTGCTGATGCATAACGTGTAGTTTAGTGCACCAATGATTGCTTGTATTTTCTTTTCTAAATAAAATCTAAAAAAAAAACCCTAAAAAGTGTTTTTAAAAATGTAATATCAAGCTTCTATGCTGGTGTTGTGAACTTTTATTGTGTATGTAATGTATATTGTATATGTATGTATAGTCTGTGCAAAAGTTTAGGCTATAAAGCTTTTCAAAAAAAAATGCCATTAATAGTTTTTATTAATCATTTAACTTCATACAAAGTGCAGTAAAGAGAAAATATATCATTATTTAGCATGACCATCCTGTATCTTTAAAACAGCACCAATTCTCCTTGGTACACTTGCCGTTTTTCAAGCTACTTGGCAGGTAGGTTGTTCAGCATACTGAAAAATAATGCCACAGTTCCTCTGTGGATTCAGGCTGCTTGAGTGTCTTCTGTCTCTTCATGTAATCCCACACTGACTCCATGATGTTGAGATCAGGACTTTCTACCATGCATCACCTTTGCCTGCAGACATATTTGTAGCTCTCCAGTCCTTTGGTGAGCAAACAGCCTTTGGTTAGTATACGACTCCCAAAGGAAACTAAAAAGCTTCACATTCTCAGACAAAGAAATGACAACAGTCAGTTTTTCTTGTTTAATAATGACCCCTTGAAGTAGGAAAAAGCCCACTAGTTCCATGATGTCACCGAAAGTAAAATTGTTGTTAGCTGTGAAAGGAGTGAAAAAGGAATTATTTTGATGTAATAGATTACAACTCAATTACCACAAAACTCATAAGAGACCAGTTAAAATCACATGCCGACATACAGTCATAGAAATATTCATGTTTTGTATTTGTGGATATTTTGCACATTTTGATCCATCCAAAAAACCCTAAAAAATACAAGATCGTCTGCAAATTAGAAAACATGGAGCGGACCCAAGTTAAAATAAATATACTGATCTGAGAGTTGCTTTTAGTATCACAGTGATGGTAGTGCTGTCGTGGTCAGGGAATATTAGAGTTCACATCAGTTTCTGACTGTTAGAATGTAGATTATCTTTACTGGAGTTGGAGTCATTATTGTTGATGTCATTATTATACACTTTATCCAGTTTCTTGGCAGACTCCACCACACAATATGTTAAAACACAACAGAGAGCATTTTGTAGAAATAGACCACATGTACAGTGTCAAAACAAGTTGATAGAAGGGAGGCATCGTCAGGACAATAACCATGCTTGTACATTCCTTCTGACATCTGACATCAGCTGTTCACACATGTCTACCCCCTCCACTTTCCAGGATGGATTTCACTAAATCCCGTGTTACTGCAAAATAAAGCACACACCAGCCCATAGCTGCTTCAATATCCAAAATAAATTCTTGCCACAGAAAAATAGACTGTATCACAATACTGTCATTGCAGCATGCTCTCAATGCAGGTCTGTTTTGGTACAGTTACAAGGGTCTAATCTGGTTACATGAGGGCCTTTGGCAGGGAGCGCATACAATCAACTCAAAGTAACCTATGTTGTCAGGTTTCATCAATGATATGTTCTTTCTCAAACATAGGTAGCTAACCTACCGTGTCCATCAGTCAGTTACACACATACAGTCTCAAAATAAATGAATAAGGAACATTCCTCAATCCAGAGGCAACCCCTCCTGCTGCTGTTGCCTGGGTGTTGCAGGTCACATAACCTGATCTAAAACACCTCAGTCCCACCTAGGGGAAGAAATTTGAGGCTGAAATACTAAACTACTGATCCTATTTCCCCTTGTGAATTTTGGTCCTTTTTAGGGTTAAATCTGCAGGTCCTTTTCCCTTCCAGGCTTCAGAGGTCAGAAAACAGGATCAAGTTTTTCCCGCTCTGTGACTCGTCATCTCTCTTTTCTTGAACTGGTTCATTTCAACAGAGTGTGTCTGTGTTAAAAGAGAGTTGTACCTGCCACACAAACACACACACACACACACACACACACACACACACACACACACACACACACACAAAGA